GAGGTAAGGGAAGAGGGAAGCGACGCAGGGGAAGCCAAGTAGCCCAAAGGTCTTCTTTTGAATTCAGACAAGATATAAGATCGAACTTCATTCTAAAGTATGTCTAAACGAAAAGGGTAAATCAGTAGAATTCAATAAATTGGTATTTTTAAAAGAAAATTCAATAGATTTGTCCTATATTGTCTCGTTCTTAAATTTATAAGAAAAATGCTAAGTGTACTATAAAGTTGTACTACTCTTGTACTACTATACTCAAAGAAATACCAATCATGACAACTCAAAATTTTATAATGGGCATCATTCATGTTTGGCCCAATATCTTAACGTGATTTATTTGTATAGTCATGACTAGAATTAACATGGCGTGTAATATAAAACAAAGTTAGGAGTGGGAGATGAGGGAGGTAAGGTAAGAGGGAAGCGACGGAGGGAAACCCAAGTAGCTCAAAGTTCATCTGTTGAATTCGGACAAGATATAAGATCGAACTTCATTCTAAAGTATGTCTAAACAAAAAGGGTAGATCAGTAGAATTCAATAGATTGGTGATTTTAAAAGAAAATTCAATAGATTTGCCCTATAATGTCTCGTTCTTAAATTTATATAAGGAAAATGCTAAGCGTAGTATAAAGTTGTACTACTCTTGTACTACTATACTCAAAGAAATGTCAATCATGACAACTCAAAATTTATTTTATAAAGGGCATCATTCGTGTTTGGCTCAATATCTTAACATGATTTATTTGTACAGTCATGACTAGAATTAACATGGCATGTAATATAAAACAATTAAAAGTTAGGAGCGGGAGATGAGGGAGGTAAGGTAAGAGTGAAGCGACGGAGGGGAAGCAAAGTAGCCCAAAGTTCTTCTGTTGAATTCGGACAATATATAAGACGAACTTCATTCTAAAGTATGTCTAAACGAAAAGGGTAGATCAGTAGAATTCAATAAATTGGTGTTATTAAAAGAAAATTCAATAGATTTGTGTTATAATGTCTCGTTCTTAAATTTATAAGGAAAATGCCAAGTGTACTATAAAAGCTGTGCTACTCTTGTACTACTATACTCAAAGAAATGTCAATCATGACAACTCAAAATTTAATTTATAAAGGGCATCATTCGTGTTTGGTCTAATATCTTAACGTGGTTTATTTGTACACTCGTGACTAGAATTGTCATGGTGTGTAATATAAAAAAAAATAAAAGTTACTTTAGAGGTGTATACTACAGATATAAAGATTGTACTAATAAAAACGACCGTGAAAGTTAGGTTCCTATATGTGAAAATAGCAATAAATTTTTTATTAAAACTTGAGTGTCCAATTATGGGTGGGCAACTAGATGAGTTGACACTTCTCATGAGCCAACTCGTACGAGTTCACGAGAAAGATGAGACGGCACATAGCTTGCAACGAGACAAGTGAGCTAGGTTCGCCTGCTTGTTTTAAGGCCTAGACCTCAGCCTAGCCCACTCGCGAGCCCATAAACATGTGGGACAAGACATGACACGCGCCGATCCACTTGACCCATCTTTTTCACATTTTTATTTGAGATTTTATAAATGATTTTTAATAGTTTTGAAGCATTTTTTAAAATTCAAAACTTTATATGTAATTAATTACTAGCTAACATTCCATAGAAAAATAATTTTATAAAGTAAAATTGTACATTTGTACAGAATGACAGACAGGAACATCGTAAAAACGAATATTTTACATGGCTCAGAGCAAATATTATATCCACGACAACAAATAATTATTTCACTAGTTTTAAAAAAATTACAACAAATTATAAGAAAAGAAGAAAAAAAACATCAACTAGTAAAAAGAAGAAAAAAAAACATCAACTAGTAACAGAGCTCAATTCTTCTTCATTCTCTTTGTCTTCCGACTGAGATTTTTAAGTGTAAATTTTAAAAAAATTAGGGTATCTAAGTGTAAGTTTTAAAAACTTTAAAGTGCACAGATACTACCAAAACAAGTGATGAGGGTATATAACTATAAGTTTTAAAAACTTTAGTGTGCGTGCATGTTGTCAAAAACAAGTGAGGGTATATAACCGTAAAGTAGGGGAAACTATAAGGCATTTAACTGTAATTCGGGACAAGACTTGCAAGATGAGCAAGCACTTCAGGTCACGTGTGGGCCCAAATCCACTCACTAGGTCTTTAGGGTGAAGCGGGCTACTTGCTCATGTGTAGCTGGGGCCAACCCAGCTCTCTTCCATAGCCCGTTCCAGACACAGGCTGAATATGTGTCGTTTCGCGGTGGGCCGAATCAGGATGGGATAAAAATGCGGGACAAATGAGCGGGCCAGTGGGCCAACTCGGCTTACTGCCTGCCCCTAGGTCCAATACAAAAACATGATAGAATTTGGGGGTATAACATAAGGAAAAGCTTAAATTCTAAATCAATGAGTAATGTTAAAATTAGGCGCGGGTAGTGGGCCGAGTTGGCCCACTGGTCCACTCGTTTGTTTTATTTTTTATCTCATCCCAGCTTAGCCCCACTACATGATGAAGTAGTTTCAACATGTTCTAGACATAGGACGCAGGAGCGAGTGGGGTTGGCTCAAAGCTGCATGCAAGTCAGTAGCTCACTTGTCCCGTAGAGCCTAGTGAGCGGGTTGGGTGTGTATGCGACCAGACCGGCTTGTTCATCTCGTGCAGCTTGTCTCATCCCAAATCTTATAGCTTTCCTTACTTCACACTTATATACCCTCACTTATTTTTAACAGCTCGCATATACACTATAGTTTTTAAAACTTGCACGTATACATCTTCATGACTTGTTTGCCAGCATATGTGCGCCTTAAAATTTTTAAAACTTACATTTAAATACCCTAAATTTTTTAAAACTTCCACTTAGTCTCTTAGTTATGCAACTTCGGGAGGATATCTAAGTGCAAGTCTTAAAAACTCAGGATATTGATAATGTGACATTATCAAAAATTTATGCAAGAACATGAGTTATCGACGAGATATTGATAACGTAGTAAAAAATATTAACAATACACTAGAGAGTATGTTTTATTCTCAAGCCACTTAAAATCTTCGTGTTTGCGATGTTTCTCTCTATCATTCTGTACAAATATACAATTCTACTCAATAAAATTATTTTTTATTTCTTATAGTGGTGATTGTTAGCTAGTGATAATTAATTACACATAAATTTTTAAATGTTAAAAATGCTTCAGAATCAAAACTATTAAACACTATATACAAAAGTCCCAAAAAAAAAAGTAAAAAAGATGGGTCGAGTGGGTTGGCCCATATCATGGCTTGTCCCACATGTTTACAGGCTCAGTAGTGGGTTAGGCTAAGGTCTAGGACCTAGAATAAGCGAATAAACCCACCCCACTTGTCTCGTTGCTGGTTGCGAGTCATTCAGTCTTGCTCGTGGATTCGCACGAGTTGGCTCACGGGACTTGCCAACTCGCCCCTTGCTCACTCCTAACTAAGTGCATGTTTGACAACATACTTATTTTAACTTATAAGTAGCTTTTTACTTGTAAGGTACTAATAACGTGTTTCGTGAAGCTTTACTTTTCTACTTATTTGAGACGTATAAGTGGAGAAAAAATAAGTTAGGATTCTCCAACTTATTC